AGTTTCTGTTGAGTCTGATAGGGGCTCCCTTACAGGTGACTTGACACTTTTCTCTTGCTGCTTTTAGGATTCACTTTCTGTTTTGAGGTTTGCCAGTTTGACTATAATGTGTACTGGAGAGGATGTTTTTAGATTGAATCTGTTTAGGGATCTTTAAGCCATCCCTATACCTGGGATGTTTTCTGTTATTATTTCATTGAGTAGATTTTCAATGCCTTTTCCTTTCTCCTCCCCTTCTGGACATGGGTTTTAAAGGCCAGTCTAAGGGCCAGCCCGTGGCTCACTTGGAAGAGTGCGGTGCTGATAGCACCAAGGCCACAGATTCAGATCCCTATATAGGGATGGCCGGTTGGCTCACTTGGGAGAGCGTGGTGTGACAACACAAAATCAAAGGTTAAGATCCCCTTACCGGTCATCTTAAAAAAAATTTTTTTTTTAAATAAATAAAGGCCAGTCTAGAACCAATGGTTTTCAATATATTTGGAAAGATATAAAAATAAGTATATTTGGGTCCAATAAATACATCATGGAAAAAAAAGTATATTCAGTTCCCTGTACTGGCCAGTTACCAAAATAAGTAAATAAATACATAAATGAAAATAAATGTAGATGTAAATGTGTGTGTGTGTGTGTGTACGTGTGTGCGTGTGTGTGTAATATATCCCAGAGTTCTGTCTGCTGACAGGACCTGGGAGCAACAACACTCTAATAGCAATGAACACAGCTAATGCCCAAATCTTGGTTTCTAAATAACATTCTATACTAAAAGAAACCACAGCTCCTTTGAGAAATGGATGATTCCAGAACTGATACCAACAAAGCATAAATCAGGCCTGAAACATGTTGCTGTTCCAGAAAGTAAAAAAATGCTAAAAAGTGATGAAGTCATGCTAAAAGCATACAGAAGACGACTTTACAGGGCTCCCACTGACCAAATCAGAGACAACTTGGGTATTAAACAATATTGGTAATTGGACAGTAATCCACTGAATATAATAGAAATTTATGAGTTCATACTGATATAATTAAATAAGTAAAGCAAAAGTTTTAAAAGAAATGGAATATTTATATAATCTCAAAGCACCTCCCCCCACACAAAACACTTATTAATTGCAAAGGTGAAGAGTAATTTTCAATTGAGAAACCACTTTAATCAAGTGATCAAAATAACAAGACAAATTGAAATGGGAGCCACCTAATAGGATTCAGTAGGAAGAAAGTAGTATTATTTCTGGGCCAGTCCTGCCAAAGATTATAGCCTGAGTTTAATCATGAGGAAAGACCCCAACAAACTCAAATTAAGGGACATTCTACAAAATAACTGGCCTGTAATCCTTAGAAATGTGAAAGTCATGAAAGTCAAAAATAGAACTGTTCCGGATTGAAGTAGACTAAAGACATGACAACTAAATGCAACATGTGATTCTGGATATCACTGGGAAAAGTGGTAAAATTTGAATGAGGTCTGAGGGTTAGATGGTAGGAATGTATCCATGCTATTTTCCTCATTTTGATGGCTGTATGAGGGTACTTCAAAAAGTTCATGGAAAATAGCATTAAAAGATAATAACAGGAAATCCTTCTTGGTGCAGCTGACAGTACATTGATCTCATAATCTACAAATCTATGAAGTTTCATTTATTTATTTATTTTTGCAGCTGGATGGTTTGGGGATCTGAACACTTGACCTTATAACACTATGCTCTAACCAATGGAGTTTGGCCTATAGCAGCTACTTCGTCTGCCCTCTCTTACCTGCTGAGGAGTATACAGGAGGATGTGCACAGGTTATATGTAATACTAGGTCATTTCATATCAGGGACTTGAGTATCTGCAGATTTTGGTGTCTTTGATGTCTTTTTGTCCTGAAACCAATCCCCCACAGATACTGAGAGATAACTGTATATAAAGCTGTTTTTGTTTGCAGAAGACATAATTATTTTTACAGAAAACCCAACAGAATCAATAAACAAACTAGGAAAACCAAGAAAAGAGTTAATGAAGGTTGCTGGATAGAAAATCAATTATATTCCTCTACAAACAAAGGAATTACAGTATTTGCAATGTTTAAAGCGGACATGGGATTAATATGAAGAATATACAGTGAAATCTTATAAATCTACAAGAGTAAAGATAGGAAATAAGAAAAAATGCACAAAGGAGGGCCAGCCCATAGCTCACTTGGGAGACTGTGGTGCTGATAACACCAAGACCACAGGTTCACATCCCCATGCTGGTTAGCTCACTCGGGAGAGTGTGGTGCTAATACCACCAAGTCAAGGTTTAAGATCCCCTTATTGGTCATCTATTTAAAAAAAAAAAGAAAGAAAAAATAACACTATGAGGAAAAGGATTAACTCAAGCAAAGACCTCCAGAAAGTGTTCACTATTCTCTGAACACTCCATATTCTTTCATGTTCCCTTGCCTTTGCAAGTACTGTTCCTAGTGACTAGAGTGGAATGTTTTTTTCTGTTTTAAGGAGGAAGTTCAAATATTATTTCTTCTTGGAGGTCTTCCTTGTTTCTCTATGCATTCATGGAATCATTTATTCATCCATCCACTGACTCATTCAACAAAGATTGGGCACTTTTACAAGGCACAATACGAAGCATTGAAAATATGATGTTAAGCTAAAAATAGAGGGTCACCTCCATTACCCTCTTGGAGGTCTATCACGGGAGACCGAGTTTAAAAATCATGTTATGGGCCGGCCCCGTGGCTTACTCGGGAGAGTGCGGCACTGGTAGCGCCGAGGCCGCAGGTTCAGATCCTATATAGGGATGGCCGGTGCACTCACTGGCAAAAATCATGTTATGTTCACTTTGATGAATACACAATTACCAACTGAGATACATGCTCTAAGGAAACAAACACTACTCTTTTTTTTTTTTTTCCCTATATAAAGATGACTGGTAAGGGGATCTTAAACCTTGACTTGGTATTGTCAGCACTACCCTCTCCCAAGTGAGCTAACCAGCCATCCCTATATAGGGATCCGAACCTGTGGCCTTGGTGTTATCAGTACTACACTCTCCCTAGTGAGCCATGGGCAGGCCCTCAAACACTACTCTTTGAGAGCACAAAAACAAGGAATCTTTTCTACGTTGGGATGGGCTGTGGGTAGAGAGGTTCAAGGTCTCTCTGAGGAAGTAACAATACATACGAATTTGGAGTCATAAATAGGCAAAGTGGAAGCAAAAAAGGCATTCCACACAGAAGGACTAAAAGGAGCCTGACAAATTTGAGGAACTGAAAGAGGCCATGGACTTGGAAGCAGAGAACCAGGGGGAAAGTGGTACAAGAGAGGAGCTTTTGAGTGGATAAAGGTCAAAGCACAGAGGTAACATGATCAGATTTGCATTTTGGGAAGATTACTCTAGCTGTTATATGGAGAACAGATGAATGTGGAGAAAGAGGGGAATGGGTGATGGGGAGGCCTCCTAGGAGACCTGCAATCCTCTAAGTGAGATTCCAGTGCATTAGGGTGGTGGTAATGCAGGTAGAGAAAGTAGATGAATCGTATAGATACTCAAAAGGCAAAATTAGTAAGAGTGAACAAGAGATAGGATATGGAAGTGCGGGGAGAGGGGGCAGTTCTGGAGCAAATCCTAGGTTCCTGGCTTAACAGGAACCACTGCGGTCAGGAGGAAAATCTACCAGAGATCTGTAAATTGAAACCATTGTCCATTTCCCGTCCTTCATTAGGGGTTACCCCTTCCATTCTAAGCAGGATATTCTAGGATCTCGCCGCCTCACACCCCTGCCTGCCAATAACCAGCAGGTGAGGCCCCTCTCGCCATTCCTCCAGGCCCGCAAAAGGCAACCTGAAGGTGGCTATTGCTTTCAGTTTATAGCATGGAGAACTAAGGGGCACATTCCAGCCTAACTCATCCAAGAAGGGGCAAAGTAGAAAATGAAAACAACTCCCTGTGAATAGCACTAATCCCCCCCCACCCCAAGCTGTGAGTAGTCATTCAATTCTGGTGTTGTGTTAACTGAGTTCCAACGACATTAAGTCTTGTTTCTTATCTGTGAAATGGAGACCACACCTCACCAGGTGGTGAGGCTCGAGTCAGCAAACGATTGCTTCTTTTTCTTTCTGTTCTTGTTAGGCTCAGTTAAATTCCCTCCAGCCCTCGCCACCCGTTTGGAGACAGTTCCTCATCCCAGGCAGATCTTCGGATGTTTTCCATAAGTGTCTGGAATGGCGTCCCCAAAGGCGGGTCAGAATCCGGCCAGTGACTCGAGCCAGCGTCCAGCACTGTCAGCAGCAACCGGGACTACCAGCCCTTCCCACAATTCCGCGGCCCCTTCCTGCCAAAGGCCTTTCCCGGTCAGTCCCGAGACCTCGCGAGAATACGACAGCTCCCGTTGTCAACCAAACTTGGAGCGCCACGCCCTCCCCGCCTCAGAAGGCCTCCTCCTTCATTTTTCCCCGCCTTCCAGCCGCGCTCCGCTCTTGGATTGGCTGATTGAGCCTGGTCGGTTTTTTTTTTTTTTTTTTTTTTTTTTTTTTCTCCTGGCCAGAAAGCTGTTCGACAATTAGTCCTGCTTTTGGCCCGCCTCCGAAGCCTACGGAGTGGACGGCTGAGTCAGGTGTCACTCGCCTCCACGGGAGCGCGGACAAGCCAATCAGGAGCTTGGCGAATTTTACAAACTTGGGAAGTCCCGGCAGTAGAAGCCGAGAGACTCAAAGGAAAAGCGAAGAAAGTGGGGCGACCCTGAGGGGTTCCCAGGAAGGTGCGGCACGGGGGTCTTGGAGGGAATGAGGGCTGCGTGGGCGTATAGGGAGGAGAGCAGTTTGGGGTCCTAGGGCGAGAGAGCAGGTATGGGGTGTCTGGAGGTGGCACCCAGAAGAGCGGCCTTGCAGGCGCCCGCGGATGTGGACGCGTGGATTTGGGCGGAGGTGGAAATATCAGGAATGTCAGGACCCAGAGATCTGGTCGACTTTTGATTCCCCGTCCTGTCTGTCTTCTTCCCCGTCTCAATTGTAGCCATCATGACCAGCCTCCAACCCCCGAAAGATCCCCTCCTCCGAGGTGTATCTCCTACCCCCAGCAGGATTCCGATACGCTCTCAGAGACGCCCTCCTTTGCCCACAGAGAAACCGTGCGCCCTGGACCAGGAGAACCAAGATCCAAGGGTAAGAGGGGCTTGGAGACAGTACTTACAAAGGAGGCGGTACACGCCAGCAATGCACCCCAACGCTGAACCTCCGCTTTTTGAACCCCATCTCTTCCAGAGATTGGTGCAGAAGACACCGCCCAGTATTCAACGCCCCTTCGTTGACTCAGCAGGCACCAGGGCGAAAGGCTCACGTGAAACAAAGAAATCACAAAGATCGGTGGGGATCACTCAGCTTCGGAACCCCTTGGAGGAGCTCAGGCCTAGCCCTGGGGGACAAAATATGGGAGCTGGACCCCCTCCCCAGACAGGTACCTGTTGGAGGCCTCCTTGGCTGAATGGGGAAATGGGAAGGGCACAGTGGGGTTTTAGGGATTTGCCCTTCTCTGGCCTCCTGCTTATGTAAGTGTCCTGGTCCCTGCTCCTGGGAAGCTCTTTCCTCTTAGAAGCCTGCCCCTTACTTCAGAAAATGTCATCTCTTAAGCCTTTTCCAGCTCCCCACATTCACAATCAATTGCTCTGTGTTCTCCTAATACTTTGCAGTACTGTACTTCTTTTATAAAATATTTCTACCCTGACTTCAGTCTGTTACCTCTTTATAGCTGGATGATAAATTCTTGAGGATGGGGCTTTGTCTTATTCACCTTTGGGCTCCAGTGCTTAGAATAGTGTCTCAGGTAAAGTTCTGTGAACATTTGGTGAGCTGAGTTCAATTGAATGGGTCTCCTTTACTCACTCTTGTACCTCAGGGTGACTATGCTAGCATCACTGGCCCCTCAGCCTTCCCCCTTCCTGTTCCTTCTTACCTGTCCTTTTCCTCTTCCCTTGCAGAGGCTCCAGGGGCTGTAGAGTTTGTGGCTGACCCTGCCGCCCTGGCCACCATCCTGTCAGGTGAGGGGGTGAAGAGCTGTCGCTTGGGATGCCGGCCCAGTCTGGCTCAGAGAGTACTGGTTCGAGGAAGCCAGGGAGGCACGATCAGGAGGGGCCAGGTAATGAGCAGGATGTGAGGTGATCAGGCTGGGGTGAGCTGGGGAGGGAATCCTAAGCCATGCTGATAGCTTCTGTTGGGGTCCCAGGATGCTCGGGCCTCTGCATATTTGCCCCCCAGAACCCC